CTAAAAAGCACTTATTCCTTGAAAATAAGTCATTTTAAAGGCAGTTTAAGTCTTTTTCTTTAGTTTTCGGGTCACTTGCTTAAATCTTTAAATACTACTGTATTGTTTTTGTCCAGATGTCATGTATTCTTATTTACTGAATAATGATAATATAATAATGCGGGGTAAAATAATAATATGCTCAGTTAAGATTCCTACAATCAAGAATTTTCAGTTTTTCTCTATGAATTGCACTAAAATATTTTTCTTTGTATACTTGCTTTTGACCAAATGCAGAATCACAATTATGCAGTTGATATTGAGTCCCTCCCTGAAGGAGTAGAAGTAACTCATGTGAATTTGAACGATGGAAGCTGTGCGGGTCTGGCCTTTCCCCGACAAAAGTTGATGGCACTTCAATACCATCCTGAGGCATCACCTGGACCCCATGATTCCGATAATGGTACTACATTCTTCCCTTCCTTAGCAGCAGCCCCCCTTATACAGTGTCATTATTTGTGTAGCCATTATCAGTAAGACTTATGCAAGACTAATCACTGTATTATGCATGATAATTTGATAATACCTTCAGAACCAGTAAAAGATGTAAGGGCTAAATAAATAATTTAGGTGGTGTTTAAGCAGTAAATCATCATAGGCGGCCAAGAGTATTCGAGTCAATCCCGTAGGCTATTCCTGGAAAGAGGAAAATGGCAAGGAATGAAGGGCAAAATTCGTATAAGGAAATTGTTTTTTATGTTTGTTTTTCACTTCGAAATATGACGAAAAATCATTATTTGTGTTTGTTATGTTTTTTCCTTCAGAATTTTACATGTGTATTTTGTTTGTCATTATGTATAATATGAATATTTAAATTAAATGGCTGTGAAAAAGCATTAAAATTGATCAATTGAAATTCAAACCAATTTTTTTCGAACAGCTCCTTTCCTTCAAAATACCTCTCTATTTTCTACCTTATTGTCTGTCTTGAATTATCTGGCAAAGGACCTCTGAAGGTTGAAATTAATGGCCAGAAGGTTGAAAATACGGGTTCAAAACGGACCTCTAAAGATGTGAAATTAAGGACCTACCAAGTATTTTGTAGAGTTTGAGAATATAACTCATCTTTGTTAAACACAAGTTGATGACTACATGGATCACATTTAATGCAAGACTGAGCATAGAATATGATCCGACAACTTCATAAACTTTCAGTGTCATGACCATAATCGTGAATGTGATAACAGATCATTTTATCTTTTATTTTACCATGGGTAAAAATGTGAAATGGGTGTGACCAGTTTAGTCAAAAGCGCATGCCTGAGCAATTTAATATTTCAGGCCAGTGATATGCCTCAGGCACAAATAAAGCGCAATAAGCGCAGAGGCGCAGAAACGCATGCTTCCGAGTGTTGCTAGGAATGCTGAAACTAATATTGCTAATATAATATGCTCTCCTCTTTTAATGATGAATGATCCTTGAGAGTTGTGACTTGAGAATTGCGCTAGAATGTAACTGAAATTAGGTTTTAGTTTTACAATTTAAGACTTGAGTTATGGCTTCTGAATTGGTGTCCTGTAATTGTGAATCATGACTTTGTTCTTGTGAGTATGACTTTTTAGTGCATGTAGTTCAATATGATATTGAATATATCATATTTGGTAATTCTAAAATAGTATACATAATATTATCTAAGCGCCTCAGGCGATATGAGTACTTACGCGATATGGGTACTAAAAAAATCACGTACTTTCATCTTGTAACAAATTCACAAAAAAAAATAGTGTATGCATATGTGTGTATGTATGCATATATATTGATATATACATACAAATCACACGTACATACATACAGTGTTTGCTCAGAGACACACACAGTTATCTCTCCTTTGGATTCTGCCAGGCCCCAACCGTCTATGGGTCCCACCAGCCCCAGCTTCTCTGCTTATTCCTATTTTTGTTGAACGATCAAAATAATTAAGGTGAAGAAATGTAGGAAAGGAGCAAGAAGAAGCATTGCACGTAAACCTTAGGATTTATGACTTTATGTTTTGTAATTAGGATATTTAATTTGTTTAACACTAATGAGTACTCTTACGCTTCATCCGTCAATTATTTGCTACATTACTGCTTAGAAAAGCTTTTTAATATATTTAAAGCAGCCCTAAAAACTGTGCGCCTCTTAGAAACTCGTCCCTCAAGCTGGTAAGGCTTACGATTCCCGCTATCGCGGAAAAGCTTAAGCCTGAGGATGCTTTTTTTTTTTTGGAAAAATTGATAAGAATAATCCCACCTTTCACTGGTTTTCTCATAATAATCCCACATTTACATAATCCAAGAATAATCCCACCTTTGCACCTCATCTTCTTTCATTGGACCCTGACCTATTGATAACCTACATTGGTGGGATTATTTATATAAGATTTTCAAAAAAAAGGTCCAATGAAAGAAGATAGGGTGCAAAGATGGGATTATTCTGAGATTATGTAAAGGTGGGATTATTATGAGAAGACCAGTGAAAGGTGGGATTATTCTTATCAATTTTCCCTTTTTTTTTTGCATGAGGCATTGCGCCTTGAACGCCTTTTTTAAAGTGTGTGTGTGCGCGAGTGGTGATTCCCATTAGAAATGTGAAATATCCACTCTTAGTTTCTTAAAGTCACTTTTACGTTAGCCATGCAACTTTAGTTCAGTTTATTTATGGAAATGTCACCGTGATTTTATCATTTTGTTGCATATGTTTGTACTTTGTACATTTAGAGCCATTCAGTCTCATTTCTCTTGAGAGTGACTTTTTATTTGAACCAATTTGTTTGGAGGGATCATGCAACTCCTAGTTTTAACGAAATGGTTTCAATGTAGTATTTGGGGAGTTTGTTCAACTGATGAAGAACGAGAAACAAAGGGCATAAGCGGTAATCTTTGCAGCAAGTTCCCACCGTATATGAAAGAGCAAAGGGGCAGAGACTTGATAGCAAGCAGAGAGGGGCTGTTAGCTAGTTGCTCTAAGCTGAGGGAGATTTCGATGTTATTATAACACCCACCCATCACTTTGGATAGTTTGTGCCACTTTTCTTTTCGCATTATTGTTATTGTTTATGTATTATAAGTGCAATACTTTATCAATAATTTGGCTGTGGTTTGGCAACAAGACTGCCGCCTACTCGGTATGAAATTTCCTTGTTGATCAGAATCGAAAACATCTGCTAATTAGCAGCTTCAGACCTTTTGCTTAACAAATAAATATCCCCTGGATTTTTGTTTGGGAAAGACTCAAGTAGAAGTAAAATATACTAGTAGCAATTATATAAATGAGAACTTAAACTTAATCGTCTATATAATGGTGCTACTTAGGGATGGACTGGGCCCGGGTGGCCTGATCCGGGACCGACCCGGAACTATTACTATTTGGACCCGTCCCGAGATCGTTTTCCAGTACTGATACTGGCCCAATACTCAGACCGGCGTAGAAATGGGACGGGCTCGGGTTTGATTTTTTGGGACTGGACTAGCCGGTCCCGGGCCTGGTCCCAATTGATATATTTTGAAAAAAAAGTTCAGGGTGAGCCCAACTTGAGACCGGTACTATTTGGGCCCGGCCCGGAACTGGTACTGACCAAATCGGGTCGATATCAGGCTTCAATTATTTAGAACCGGGACCGACCAGGCCCGAGCCACACTAGGACTGACTCGGCTCCATGCCTAGTGCTACTGCCGGTTCTATGAGCCGCTAATGCCAAATCTCTACCTACCACTGCGGGGCCTGTGGGTATGTCTGTCCACATTTCCTGGCTAGAAAACCGAGCCAAAAGTAAAGATTTTGGATCCAAATTTTGGGGAATTGCACAGTAGTCGGTACCAGTTTCAAAATCAGTGGTTACATGTTTTGACTTTGATTTTTTATTTTTCAATTTGATAATTTAGTTAATATTTTTAAAATACAGTAAGTAATACTCTTGTTGTCCTCTTATCTTTGTTTGATTTTACATTTTTGTCTGTCCTATTGCCTCATCATCAGGTGTGGACTCGGGCCGGTTCGGGCCCGGTCCGGGCCTAGGCCCGGTCGGGCCGGCGGTTCAGGAATGGGGGGCCCGGAATCGGCCCGGGTGGCGGGTACTCCCCGTGTCGGGCCGGGCCTCGGGCCTTAGTTTTTTTTCCCTTTTCCTAGTTAACCCCCCCCCCCCCCCCCCCACCCCCACCCCCAAACCACCCCAAATGGCCCAAAATACCCAGCCCAACCCGAAAACAAAAAAAAATTGAAGAAAAAAAAACGAACCGGAACCGGGCTTGAACCGGCCGGGCCGGTTTGTGATTTAGGGGGCCCGAGCCCGGACCGGAACCCCAGCGGGTCGGGCCTACCCGGACCGTTCACTGACCGGGCCACCGGGCCGGAACAGTGCCGGTTCCAGGTCGGGCCACCCGGCCCGAGTCCACCCCTGCTCATCATATATGCTAATATTTCAGTGGTTGAAATTGTTTTGAATAAATTCAATATCAAGCACAAAACTTCATTTTTTTAAGGGAAAATGGAAACTAATAATCCAACCTTTTAGCGGTCTTCTTACAATAGTCCCACCTTTTGATTATTCATGAATAATCCAACCTTTGCACCTCATCTTCATTCACTGGTCCCTGACCGGTTGATGACCTGCCATTCCAAGTTATTTTCTTATCTTTGCAAACCATTATACCATAAATCTCACCTTTCACAAAGATAATATTTTGCAAAGTTAAGAAAATAACTTGGAATAGCAGGTCATCAACCGGTCAGGGACCAGTGAATGAAGATGAGGCGCAAAGGTTGGATTATTCATGAATAATCAAAAGGTGGGACTATTGTAAGAAGACCGCTAAAAGGTTGGATTATTAGTTTCCATTTTCCCTTTTTTTAATGATACTTGGTTATACATTTTGCACTCGGTATGATTGTATGATGATAAAAAATTGGAGCATCTTACTATACGGTGTTTATTAATGATCAAACATTCGAAGTGTTCTTTCCTGTGTTTATTAGTTTATTGATAATCAAAAGCATCTTATTCTGCTTATCAACAAATAAGCTGATACGAATATACGAAGTGTTCTTGACTGGAGAATAATCATCTTATTCTCCTTGTTACCTTGCTGAATAAGTTTTACATACGAAGTGTTTTTTCCTTTAAGAAAATTCAATACATTCAATCACATAACCTTTAGCACATCAATACTAACCATACCCCCAGCCTCTTTGTGCCTTTAAACTAATGCAAAATGATGATATATACATCTCAAAAAGAAACACTAGACCTTATATTGAAGTTAGTAGACTAGGGGAAAAAATGCATCTCAATCCGAGGTGATCCAGATACCCTTCCCTCTAGAACAGTATTTGCAAGGTCTCGTAGTGCTTTTATGCACACAATGGATCTAATGAAATTGCAACCTGTATATTGTGACTACACTAGAAGTGAGACAATCAGATCACCACAACATGAAATATACCAAGTAGGAGCGAGCGAGCAAACGCGGGCCATTTCAGTCTAATTTATCCTATTTTTAAAAAACATTCAAAAGCACTGAATCGGTTATCCTTTCCTATTTTGACAGAACTGGAATTGTTTAGGACCAGTTTAGAGTACTAGTTCCTGTCCAGAACCGCAAATATGGGCTTCAGTTCTCTCCCTTTACTCAAGAGTCAAGAGGTTTTGGTCCTGTTCGAAAACCGGGACTATGTGTCTATGTCCAGGCATCCAGCTTATCAACAAGAGGCTCAGGAAATTGAATGTCTCCAACGGGTATGAACATAGCTGATTCAGAAGGGGAAAGCACAAAAGCCTACCCCGATTAGCGCTCGCTTAGGTTTGGTCTGAAAGGGTTGAGTAGAAGAGGATAGGCAAGGTCAACACTACAAAAAAAAGGAAGCAAAGAGTCCTTTTAACGATAAATAATAGTAGCAAATATACAGGTCACAGAACATTGGAACAATGTAGACAATTATAAACAACATATATGATATACCCGATAATAGAGCTCTCTACAAACTGAAACGGTATGTATATACCGGCCACAGAACAATGTAACCGGAGATCGAAGCTTAAACCTCAAGGTTCTATGGGAAATACCTTCTCTAAAAAGTTAATAAAGCGTTTAGAATAGACGCTGGGTTTAACGGCAGAAATTGACATGGGATCAACCAACATGGACTTGTAAGCGTGCTCTAACTTCTTTTTCATGTTGTATTCCTGCAAGATGTCAATTATGCCCATATACAGAACTACATCATACACCTCAAACAGTTCAACTTCGGCTGAACCATCAACCCCATCCTGCATAACCTTGTGGGTTGCTTCAGCTGGCATGTGCACACCTAACTGCACCCTCAACCTCAACAAAACAAAGAAAACAAAATCAATTTTAACATAATTATACGGTCACTTGGCCCTAGTTAATTTGTTGGAGGACTTTTGAGTGTTTGTTTGGAGGAGTTAAGAGGTAGGTGGAGGAATGTGGGTGATCAATGGACTCATCCAAACTCCTCATATCTCACAAGCACCTCCAATTCGGTGGGATTTGGAGGAATAATATTTTTTTCCACATCTTCAATTATTTATTTATTAATTAATTTATATTCAAATCAATTTCATTGGACATTATTATAGTTATATATAGATTATTGTATTTGTAAATGTAACACAAAATACCCCCTCTGTCAGTCTGTCCAAAGCAAAAAAAATCCATATTTCACACATTTCTTTTGTCCTGCATATCAGTCTTCGTTTGATCAAACAAAGCTACTTCCATATGCAAATGATCAAAGAAGTGAGATAGGAAAATGTAATTAAATCAAGAAATGAATTCAAAAATTACAAGTATATTATGAAAAACTTAAAATTTACGGAGTATATCTTAATTAAACATCTCTTTCCTTTGTAGGAGAGTTAATATAATGTTCAATGCATTTTCCCCTAAAATATCTATGACTCCGAACTCCACTTTTTGGCTCCTCTAGCACTACAAAGGAGGAGAAAAATACCTTCCCGTGCCTGGTAAAAGGAGATCAACCTCTTTATCACCGAGTGAGCACGCTTTCAATGTATTTCCTCGACAATGGGGACCAGGTTCATTGTTAGCTGCGGAAGGCTCATGGGTTACTAAAAGCAACCCCCTTGGAGGAATTGACATCTCGCCCTGAGAGGCCACCCCTTGAATAAAACAAAAGTAAACATAGTTAAAGTAACATAAATATAAAAATGGAACTAAAGAAAAATTGAAACATTGTGGTGGGAATCAATTTCTACCATCACTTATCGAAGTAGTACTAGTAGTAGTGTCAGCTTTGTGCATGGAATCAGGTGGCTCTAAAAGTGTCATGAGATGTTCAGGAGCTCTAAAGTGCAACCCCAATAAAAGGCTATAATCAATTATTTGTTGTGCTTCTAAAAACTGGCAGTCCAGAGATAATTGCCTGCACAAAAGATAAAAAAGATTTTTGGCTCACAAAAAATGCTACAGAAAAGGATAGTATTGCTAAGGAAAATTACTTCATTGTGTTTGGTTTACCTTGGAAAATGCAAAAGGATAATGAATTGTAATTTGGTGTTTTAAAAAAATATACTTGTATTTAGCTTTTAGTCTTCTTTAGTTGGATAGTTTTCTTAGTCTTTACATTATAGAAATAGATAAATAAAATGAGCTAGAACAAATATCTAAAATGAATTTGTTGAATTGAAACCAGTGTTTCATTTTTCCTTCACATATTTCTTTTCTTTCATATTTCCCTCATATATTCCTCCTTAGTTTCGTTCATCATTTTCCAAGTTCCAAATAGACCCTAAAAGAAAGCTATAATAAGTTCACTTTTTATCTTTTCTTAGCTGTTAAACAGGGAAACTGTCAGCTACAAAGAAACTTCTTTTTTACATTTGTACTTTTTTAGGAAGCACGTGCAAATATCTATGTAGCAGAGAAACTCTTGGGAAAGAGTACGGTTCCGTTTCGGAAACTCTTTGGAAGCTCTTCAAACAAGCGTTTTTTTTGAGCAAAAGTTGACGTTTCCCGTTTCCTCACGATTTTCGCGTTTCCGTGCAACATAGCATGCAATCATTATCATGCCAGCTAGCAAGGGTAGGCAAATTGGCTGGAATACTCCACTTCAGTGTACACTTTTGTTTGACTTGCATGCAATTTTAGAAAGCAGTAATGTAGCATGTTCAGGTTTAGACATATCTTTACTCTTTAGATTGACTTTGTTATTGGCTTTCTTTAGTTAACTGCTGCAAAGAACTAGCATAATATATAGCTTCACCATGTCATGTCCAAACAAGTTCGAGAAAGGGGGGAAAGGCGTAACCTGAAAAGTATTTCGCGTAATAATTTATCCATATGAAACTCAAACTTCAAATCAAGATCCTTCAATGTAGTACCCTCATCAATTTTATCTTTGTTTGTAAATCTTCCATGAGACGAACCCTTCAAATCATAGCGTCGATGTATATGTAGTTCAGTGCAGAACATGTTTCCCATGACAACAAAGCGTACCTAATAACCAAATGCATATATGATTAGAGTCCACACCGGCAATCAAAAGTAAGACTCATGGATATTGTGTACCTTTTTCCCTCTTCTGAACGATATTCTGTGAAGCCCAAAAAATTTTGTTACAAGTGTGTTCTCGTGATCTTTTACATGTTTGTAGTAAGATGGAAGCATTTTCAGTAGCACCTACACAAGAATTAGGTAAAACGAAATCACAGTTAACAACCTTGCAGTGTTCGGAGTTGAAACAGGTTAGCTACCCATGAAAATATATACTACGTAACTTTTAACGAATTCAAACCTTGAGCTCAGACTTCCTTAAAGTTTTTATCACAAATCTGTCATCACTAGAATGATAAAAAATACTGCCGCTTTTTCCAGGAGAGGAAAACTCTCTCAACCCATCATCGCCACAAATGGACATCATGTACTCTGCTGCGTCTAACCTGAACAACTCCCTTAAATTCCTGGACATAATATTTAAATCAGACTACTACTCAAGATTCCAACAATTCATTTTGCATTATGAGATAATTTCAAAGTTTAAATGAAATAAACATCAATAGAAGATTGGTTCTGAAGATGGACTACCTGAAAACCATAGGACAGTAGTCCTTCCAATAGAAGTCAATCGAATAGTGGGGCGGTGTCAATTGGGAGCCTTTTCTAGGAAAATACATCTTTATCCTAGCCCGCTCTCCAAAATCAGATTGTCTCAATCCTCGGATAGGAACAGGCGTGATCTTACCCACAGAGTGCCTGTAGACTTAAAAAAGTTTAAACTCGAAAGTTTACCATAAAAAATAACAAGAAAACAAAAGGACAGTAAGTATATCCAAGACAATTCAAAGTTTACCGAATACCAAGCTGCAAATTAAGCATCAAGTAGTAGCTCTTAAGACCTTTGAAGAAGTCCATGCTTAAACTCCTTTTCACTTCCTTTGCATGAGACTTGCAACTCTGATTACTTTTATAGGATAGTCGTCTGGTTACAGTCCTGACCCTTTCTTTGATAAGGACTCCTTGCATGTATTCTCTTTCATAAGCCAAAGTACCATTGTCCAAGAAATTACTCTGGCTGCCTAATGAGTTTTGGGATAACATACAAAAGGGATCTTCAGGTAAAATCTCTCTACAGTCATCAAGAATACAGTCTCCCACAAGCGATGTAGTCCTATGTGGCATTCTCCCAGGCACTATTCCAAAACTATCAGAGATCTTCTCAGAAAGACTACGCCTCACTTGAGGTCTATCTAACATGTCTGCACTCACTGATGATCTATGGGACAACATCCTTTTTATAAAATCCTGATGTTTATCAATCTTGGTCTTATCCAGAGAGGACAGCTTGCTTCCAGAAGGATAAAAAGTTCCACGTCCGTCTTTTATGCCTTTAGCCCAAGTCCCAAAAAAGTAACTTCCATCAGCAAATCTGTAACAGCCCGACCCATTTCTTAACCCATTTGACCAAAAACCATCAAAAATATCTCCATTGGACCACTTCATAACACCCCTACCATACGTTTTCCCATTTTTCCAATTCCCAATGTAACAGTTCCCATTACTCCATGCATATCTACCACTGCCTTCACGTACCCCTTCTCTCCAACAACCATCATAAACATCTGAATTGTGATACTCTTTTCTTCCAATGCCATGTTTATTATTCATCTTCCACGAACCTCTGTATATAGAGCCATCACAACCATAAAAGGCACCATAGCCATGGAGGTAATTTACACAAAACTCACCCTCATAACTAGATCCTGATGACCAGATAATCCACCCTTTCCCATCCATCTTTCCTTCTGCCCAATGACCATCATAAACAGTTCCATCCGACCATGTATATCTACCTTTGTCATGGGGTAGCACTCCCTTAATAGTACCCACATAGATGTCTCCATTTGGGAAAACCTTTTCAGTAGTCCTGCAGAATAATAGAAGCGACAGTTAACTAAGTCATCACAATCCATATACTATCTCATCGCTAAAAAGATGAACTATGATGCTTAATGGCTTTATACCTTTCCATCAATGATTAGACATAAATGCCCCAGCTGTTTCTTGTTGTCCCTCTGCAAGCCAATCCATCCAGGTAAAACTTTATGGCAGAATGAGGGAAATGTGCATTCAGATTCACACACAAAAAAAATGTGTAGCACAAAGCACAATTGAACAGCACAAATCTTCTGCAGAATATCGGCATTGAAAAGCAGAATCTATCCTAGTGTTTATGCTACATATATAGAATCTTTAGAAGCCCGTACAAATTATGTAAGTGTGCAAGGATTTCAATGCTTTGCCGTCCAAGTCAATTAGCCGATAGTAACTGCTCTAGTTAACCGCTGGCCAGGTATTTTAAGTACAAAAAATGTGCACTCTTAAGTTCATGACATCAAGAGGAAGACTATCAGTTCGGTTATTTGTTATAAATTCCAAAACTGCTAATAGATCTCAAATTTTAGAAACAAAAAAAGAAATATTCAAGAAACAAAATCCTTAAACAGAAAGAGATCACTATATTCTAGGGGTTGGCACGGGTCAGGGTAGGGGCAGGTTATCTGTAAATTTTTAAAAATCATAGGTTCCATTAAACAGGTAGGTCCGGGCCACGTATAACAATTCTCATAATAGGAACTGGACCTTACCCTCCTCGTTTTGAAACGAGTCAGTTCGGTCCATGTTTCCAGTTTTTTTTTTTCACCTTAAAATAAGCAAAATTTGCACTTTTGAACTTAAATTAAATAAATAAATTTTCTAAACTAATCCTAAATATGCGAGAGTGTGAGACTAAACCTCTGCATTAATTTTATTTCTAAAGTAATAGGTGATAAAAATCATAAAATTTACCAAACAAAATGTCTTGGTAAAAGTAAGAATAACAAAGTACGGAGTAGCCAACACTATTTAAAATAACAACACAAGCCCTATTTATCTGACTTCCAAATTCGACCCAGTTCTAGAAAAACAGCAACGTAGTCCACTTTCAAGTTTCAAAATCACTGAAAGTATTATAAGATTCACAATGCTCAATTTGTTTATAAAGATAGAGTCCATCTAAAACGCCTCTCTGTTGATTAATGATGGCTGGACAAATAAGACCTAAATCCACCATTCCAGGAAAAGAATGGACAAAAGAGAAAGAAATAAATGAAGGCAGCTTCTTCATACGAGGAATGTGTAGTTATGATGTGTTAAACAAAGGAAACAAACACAATTGTATCATGTCCAAATGCTTCAAACCCCAAACGAAAATTATAAATATATAACTGTAAGAAGCTAAAACAGTGAATAAAGCTAAATCTAATCATCTATGGCCACATGTAATCATCACTATATATTGTAAAAGAAGGCTACATCTAATCATTTGTATCCTAGCAATGAAATTGGCCATGAAAATAGAAGTGAACAACTGATCAGAACATGCATTCTTATAAAAAAAAGGATATGCATTCAATTTGTAAATTGAACTATGGTTTGGTAAATCTAGCCATCAATAGAAGTTCACCATTGCATGAGTTCTTTCTAAAACCACCCATAATTTTAGTAACTAAAAGTAACTATCTTGTCATTACCGGCATTAGGACTCTAAATCAGAGTGCCTATTCACTATATATCTAAAGTGCTTAAATGCATGTTGAATCAATTGGCCTCTTTACCGAGAATCATTTCATCAAAATTCAAAACATATTACAAAAATTCTCAAACACAAATGTGATCAATCACTTTATCGAGAATCAATCAACCAAAATTCAGATTGATAGGTTAAAGAGCCTGGAATGGGGAATGGAGGATAAGCCTCAGCTATACACTATTGATTAAACTCAGAGTCATCCTCAGTAGTAGGTTTCTTCATGGAATTGGGAAAAGTAAAGAGTCAAACGAATTGGAAGGTATCCATCGTTGCTCAAGGAAATTAGTTTGTGGTGCCTGCAGAAATGCTACAATAGTTAAGTTGCACATTGGAACCTATTTTTGGAATGCCTGCCTGCCCTATTAGAATCGCCTTCAAGAAGGACCCGACCCTAACCTGCCTTGAACTTGGGTTCCCTGACCCAAAACGTGGTTCATGTACCCGTTTGCCTACCCATACAGCCCTACTACATTTCTATACAACAACAACATCCAAACCTTAATCTCAAAAGAGTTTGGGCCTTGGTTAACATGAACTTATATACGACATAGGAGTTAAAAACTTATCACTACATTCCTATAATACCAAATAATTCAATCAAAAACTTGGCCAACACAAAACTTACTCCTTGTACTTCCACATTAAATTTAGATATCCGCACTGAACAATGTATCTTATCATTCGTAAGGAAATACATTAAACTGACTTGTGCCTTGCAACTCACTCGAAGTCTCGAACACTAAATAAAACTTCGAAGTTAACTCATCAACAAGCAAATTCGATTCCAGAGTCAAACAGCTATATAATTGCAAAACGGAAGTATCATATATTCGCATATGAATAAAGTAGCAATAACCATTCATGTAATGTTGGACGAATATCGATCGAAAACGGAGACAACTCATCTACGAAAAGCACAATGTCGAACTCGGAGAAATTGAAGATTATCAGCTCCAGAAGTAATAAGAAGATCAAGTTAGAGAAGAGAGCCGATCATCGAACCTCTTCAGCTTGAACTGATTTTGAGTTGACGTCACAACTCAGCTAACTCTACTTGGATTAAACGGATGCCTCAATAATAGTCCCCCTCATCCTTCTCTCTAGCCTCTGCCATTATTAACTTTCTATCTCTCACTAAATCCAGGCCTATGAAAACGATAATAGCTCTTCTTGTCTCTTTTCAATTTTCGAGCACTCATTAGTTTAGAGTTGACAAGGATGACAGAAGTTGAGAATAATACCCGGAGATATTACTAGTGTGCTCTAGTAGCTCAGATCAGACACGTGTTGATGATGGGCTATGAGTTGTGTGGCCCATGGGCTATGGGTCTGCAACCCATTTCATCCCATTATTTTGGGATTGGGATCCTTTGCCTTAAGGCAGAGTGCCTTGCTCAAATGGACGGCACAGTTCGAAAAGCAGGCCTCGAGATTCCTGCAAAAAATGAAGCCCTTCATCTTCAACCCTTCATTTTTTGATCTGATGGATGAAAACAACCAAGCACCCTCCTTGGCTGCTTAACAAGGCAGAGACGTCGGATCCATTATTTTGATGTTTTTTTGAATTTTTGTTATCCCAAAATAAGTGTTATTTCTCTTTTTTGGTAAAAAATACTTCATATGTGGCTATCATCGTTTCTTTTACGCTACTCAAATCGCAACTACAATTTCACTTTTTAATCACTTTATTACTCCCTCCGTCCCAGGGAGAAGTTCCCGGGTTGACTTTCACACATTTTTAGGAAATAAAGTTACTGATGGGTAAATTTTACTGTTTTGCACTGTTTCGACACTGTTTGGCACTGTTTCGACACTGTTTGACACTGTTTGGCACTGTTTGGCACTGTTTGGCACTGTTTTAATGTAGGATAACTTTCCATTTAGGGAAATGGGAAGTTTCTTTTGGGACATCCAAATAAGGAAATTGGGAACTTCTCCCCGGGACGGAGGGAGTAATAATTGTATCAAGGGATTTTTACTCTACTCAAATCACCTAATATGAGACGGAGGCAATACTTTAAAGGGATTTTTAACTATTTAACATGAAAGAGTGGAAGAGTAGTAGATTTGTGTGTTGAGTTATGATGAACTGGCAAAGGATGAAAGGGATTTGAATAGCTTTGAAAACCGCTAAGAAATTATGAGGAATATTTTAGATAAAGAGATTGAATATCAAAAGGATTTTTGAGTGAATGTTAGGGTCAACTAGTTGTTAGGTTAAAATTTGATTAAATTAACAAACACGATTCATGAATTGGATTGTTAGTGGACGATTTAACTTGCGGTCAACATGATATATCTCTACTTACACGCTTGCCCATCTTAGAAAGGGAATCATGGTGCACGCTTAACAAAACGACTTAACATATGAAAGACTTTTAACTTAAAGTACTTAATTGAATGATTGATTAATAGATGGTTACTTAGGGGTAATATGTTTAAGTGTCAAATCTATGTTATATATATTGAAAAAAAAACTAATAATTGAGTACAGTGGCTGTAAATATAACAACGCAGTATGCATATGTATGAGTGTTATAATTTTATAAACACACATGTATGTGAGTGGGTGAGAGTTCGTGAAGACATAGCAGCATAAATAAATGAAAGTACTTTTATATTCACACAATATAATAATAATGTAATATTTAGGGATTATTTGGTAATATTTCATAACTCAGTTTTATTATAAATATATGGCTAAGGCACCTAATAGGGTGAGCCATTATTCTCCCAATTATACTTTCGTATATGGTATCAGAGCCGTCCGGTGGAAGTGTCAGAATGAATAATTTGCAAAGGTGCAGAGGTATCATGAATAACATCAGAAAACGGGAGTCTGTGGGATTTACCCAGCTTACAAGAAACACAATCATGAATAAAATTTGAAGAACTACTAATTAATTTATTTTGCCTAAGTGTACAAATAACTTTATCACCACAATGTCCTAAACGCTTGTGCCATACAGGGCCAGGTACAACTCGGGCTTGGAGGGCAGTAAATGGGTAGAAATGATCTTTATTAGTGGCCTGAAGAAGAAGCTCCCCCGTTTGAGTGTCCTTAACAGAAAAAGAATTTTTATTAAAAATCACTTCACAGGCATTATCCGCACACAATTTTTGGATAGAGAGTAAATTATATTTAATGTGTGGGACATGATGAACAGAGTTTAAATGTAGCAGGCGGCCAGATGTGAGTAATTTAATGTGACCAATATGAGAAATAGGTAATTTAGTACCATTCGCAACACAAACTTGATTCGCGCCAGTATAAGTAAATTTAGAAGATAAAATACCTTCATGCGGAGTCATGTGAGCGGAAGCCCTAAAGTCAGGATACCAGACCGAATCATGGTTTTCCCCAGTTGGAAGGGCTGCAAGAGCAGAAGTATTCTGCGAGGTGAAACGTGAGCAAGTGATGGCTGAGTGACCTGGAGAGAAACAAAGTTGACAGACAACTGGCGCAGCAGGTGAAGGATAGGAGTTCTCAACAGATGAGAAACCTGCATTAACATTATGAGTAACACAAATAGGAAAGTGATTAGTAAAATCAAAACCAGAACTGACATTACTAAATACTGAACCTGCGCCACCAGGATATGGATGTCCACGTGGAGGAACTGACTGTCCATATGGAACCCCATACAACGGATATCCTCCAAACTGCTGCTGATAGTATTGATGTTGGCCACGGCCGCCCCGTCCACGACCACCCCGAGGTCTGCCTCCTCGGTTGCCGCGTCCACCGTGTGCCCGAAGTCCGCCTGCAACATACACATCGTGTGCACTAGGAGCAGGCCCTCGGCCTGGGGCTGCCTGACCTGCCGCGAAGGCCTGATGAACAGTAGGCGGCTCCTGAGATGGACTGGAACTCGACCTCTTCTCCTGAGCTTCAAGGATCGGCCGTAGCGTGTCAAGTGTAGCATTGCCAGGAAAATAAGATATAGTCGTGATAAGATGTTCAAACTCACGACCCAACCACAAAATAGCGTATTCCATCAAATCACGCATACTAACGGGTGAATTTATCATAGCAAGAGCATCAGCAATCAACTTAATTTCCAACAAATATTGATCCATGGTCTGTGACTCTTTCTTTTTAATATGTGACAAAGACCTCTTAAGTTCAACAGACCGAGCAAAACAGACAGACATAAAACGCGATTCAAGACGCTCCCAGATAAGGTAAGTATTTTTCAAGTCATACACCTCCATTAAAATATCCCTAGCCAAAGTAGCAAAAAGCCAAGACCTAACCGTCTGGTCTATTTTCAACCAGTGGTGATAGTCCGGATCTGTGACAAGCGGTACTCGAATTGAGCCGTCTAGGATCCCAAGGAGACTATGAGATACCAGGAATGACTCAAATTGGGTATGCCACGGTAAATAATCCTCAACAGCAGATAGTCGGGTAGTAACAATATTGGTGACATTGGGCGTAGAGAATGTTAATTGTGAAGACAAGGCAGATAAAGAACCTGGCAGTTGGGCATATCTGACTCGGCCAGAGCCTGGACTTGCGGCTGAAGGCGTGATACCTGCTGATTAGTAAAAGTTGGACCAGCATATCTCATGTTGGATGGACCGACTTCTGGAGGATTGTTGATGATCGAAGGTGGGGGAAGACTGGCAGTAGGAGTCCAGGCAGTTTGCGGTCTACTACTGGATATGCGGTTTTTCTGGACTCCAATTTAGTTTCATGGCGCTTCAAGAAACAACCCATTATGTCGAAGTCTTCTACTGAGGCCGAGTACAGGGCCATTGCGTATACTGTCCAGGACACTCTCTTCATCAGATCACTACTTGTAGACATGGGCATTTTAATTTCAGCCCCAGTGAATCTTCTGTGCGATAATGTTTCAGCTTCCTATTTAGTTGTTAATCCTATTCAGCATGATCTAAGTAAGCACATTAAGATTGATTATCATTTTGTTCGTGAAAGAGTAGCACATGGAGACCTTGTGGTGAAACACATTCCTACGCAGTTACAGTTAGCTAATATCTTCACCAAGAATTTGTCTAGTCAGCGGTTTGAGTTTTTACGTTCCAATTTGCACGTGATTTCCCTTGCACAAATTGAGGGGGTGTAATAATGTAATATTTAGGGATTATTTTGTAGTATTTCATAACTCAATTTTATTATAAATATATGGCTAAGGCACCTAATAGGGTGAGCCATTATTCTCCCAATTATACTTTCGTATATATAAAAGCAAATTAAAAATTGTGTTTTTCCTGTTTGTACCGTCGTTATGTTCCCTTGTTTATATTCTAATACTAGTTTTATTTACGTGCGTTGCGCGATTAATATGTGCCCAATATCATTTGTATAACATATACTCGTATATTGGTTGTTTCTTTCCAAAGCTATAACATGGTGAATGTAAAACGAATGGTTTTAAACAAAACTTTTGGGGTTTTATAAATATCTAATGAGACAAATTTAAAAAATATTGGGTTTCTTATTTGGGACAAACACTGACTTAAAAAAGAGTTTGATTCAAAATATTATTATCCATAAAGGATTTTAAATAGGGTTGAGTTTCCGATATCCAATTTCATGCTTTCTGTTAAGCTAGCTAGTAGGTATTAACTCTAGTATGAGTATTATTTATTTCTCGTCCACACAAATGTACATGAGGTGATTGCACAATTCTTGGACGAAATCATTGAAATGGAAATGCCACAAATAATAGCGATTTCGTTTAACATTTGGAAATATGACAATTCCTACTAATTGCTACGGTCAAACGACTAAATTACCAAATGCGGAGTATCTTTTTGCAAACCACCAATGTATTTCGCTAGTCAAATCCATTGACTGAATCCGCTATTAACAACTCGCTTACCCGCTAACATAATTTGTAATCTCCTAACCACTAATCATTAAATGTCAAACACGCCTTATAATTAAGTTATAATAAAAACATGTACCCTCTACTTAAATTTATTCTACACAATTAAATAAGGGGACATGTGACAAATAAGACATGCTAATAGAAAAACAAGCCTTACCCCAACCCCTCTCTTGCAACAATGATAGAAGCAGTTATTTACCGAATTTGAATTTGCTTGGTCTATGAATTTATAATATGTTTTTATTGAAATCAAAATAGCCTCTCAAAAAAACATCTTAGTATACTTAGATACTCATATCAAGAGGGAAAAAAGAGGAAACATAGTAATTTCCAAATGCAGAGTATACTTGTACATGCTTACATGAAATGACCAAACAAAATGGCGGACAGCTAAAAATCGATGTACTATAAAAACAATGAGAAATACCACTAATAGAGGATGGTGTTCCTACACGCAGTAGATTAAGTTCTGTATACCCCAACAAGAAACATGAACAATAAATTAGGGAAAATACCTTAATTTTTCTAGGATATATAGTCTTTTGAGTGAAATATAATGAGTTACGTTCATAAGAACACCCCCAATTTGGTAACCCTCTTTTTAAAAAAAATAGAAATAGGCTTAGATTGATAACACATCATTCAGATAGTAGGTAAATCGACAACATGACTTCTGAAAACCGCCGTCCCTCGAACCAGACTCAGAGTTAATCGCCGCAATAATATAACTCGTTGATCCATTAATGGAAACAAATGAGACAAAGACGGTCAACACGGTCAAATAATCACCCTCATTGAAAGACAAAACCATCGTCTTACAACTGTCATAAAAGAAACAAACAAAAACTGACAAACAATCAAAATCAAAATAGATAAAAACGCAGAAATAAAAGTCTTCGTTCAGTCTTCCAAAAGCCCCAAACAACCAAGCTCCTGGAGAAGCATCCTGCCCCATTGACAATGGCGGGCTCATCCCTCTAAGCCCGCCTCCTCCCCGTTTTTTGTCCCATCCAGAGCCATGCTATCCCCCACTTGGTTCTCTCTTTTCCCCGCCTCCCAGATACATCGGCGTTTCTGTTCTCCTGATGACTCCTCGTTTGCCCCCACGACCCCATCCTTTGCTGAACTGGTGGCTGAACTCACCATGAGAATCTTTCCTTCGTCAACCATTTCATCGGATTGGGTAACCCTCTTTTTTATTACCAACCTTGTCAACTTATTTTTATATACAACTTTTAATTTTGCATGTTAATAATAAATAAAAGTAAGCTTGAAGTTACTTTTATGCTGAATTTGGTAAGGAGGACTACTTATCTATTTTTATATGGTTTTCCTCTATTGTAGCAATTCAGTCGCTTTAGGTCGAATATCACAATTCTTTAATTCACTTGATTCAACTTCAACCAATTTTTGTATTACCAAATGAGTTAAAAATAATGTAGCATTTAACATTAAGAGCATGTTTGGTGGCACTATTTTTTGACTTATCAACCATTTTTTTCACCAACCACGTAACTTTTGATTTCCCACGCTGAATTGTGTAATAATAAGAAAAAATAAGGTTGGATTTACTTTTTGGCTGTATTGGCTGAAATTACTTTAGAGGATCATTTTAGCTATATTTCATATATTTTTTCTTTTTTATATTAATGAAAATCTTTTGAATATAATTTTTTCATAAATCACCAGAACCAACCAATCCAGCCACTTCAGCCAGAACTTCATAAATTTCAGCAGAATCAGCCGATTCAGGCAATTTCGATGTTACCAAACGAGCTCTAAGTTTTGAATCGGAGCAGAGGACCTCGAGAAGTTATTTTCATTAAGAAAAAAGATCAGCAAACGAAGAACAAAAGTATGCAAATTAATGGACTTAACAAGGGATGAGAAGATTAATCGGTGAATGGAAGCATAAGTAAGCCTAAGAGCCCGGTTGGTAACACCGAAATTGGTTGTATAGGCTAAATCTGCTAAAAATGATGAAATTTTGATTAAACGAGCTGAATTGGCTGATGAATTGTGGAAAATTTATATTTAAAATATATTTTATTAGGGAAAATTTTCTAAATAAGACTAAAATAAGGGAAAAGATGATAAATGGGATTAAGGTTTTTTTTAAAATCCTTCTAAACCTATCATAACATCCTTGATTGGGATGTGACTCGAACCCGCGACCCCCTCTTTGGGAGATCAGTAGTGATGTCATTAGATCACGAGGTGCTTGGCAGGATTACAATTGTTTTATTCCTAAAATATGACTCATTCACCCTATGCTTATGCTGGGAACTTTTAATCACCTTATTTTTTAAGACTTAATAATTTCTAATATTGATAAAATTCCCTAAAAAGGACTAATCAAGAAAATAAAATCATAAAATATGGTTATCGTTATTTTATTACATATTTTGGGATCTTTTAATACCCTTATTCTTTTAATATAGGACTTAATAAAATTTATTTGGGGAAGAAAATATATATTGATCTATTTTGGAACTTTGCCAATCTTCTAATCATATATCGAGCAAGTAAGTAAATTAATATAAATTAATATATATATAAATAATTCATATAGTGCTCGTAAGTAGAAGGGTGGGGATGGGAAAGATGGAACACATAGCTCCTTTGTAACAATTATTTGATCTTTAGTGGAGGTTGGCTCATCCGCTCAAGAACGATGATGGCGGCAACTGTGGATTGTCTGTGAAGTTAGTTTTAATGGAGTTACGTGCCAAGAAAAGAAAATAGTAAGAGAGTACAATGACTGAGTGATAAAGTACCACCGTGTGAAGCTTAAAGATGTCACCAACATTTTTTTAATACCCAAAAGACCCTAACCTTCATTGGTGTTTAGAAGATTTAGATTAGAAGATTACACCATTTACAATATCTTGTTAGACTGTTAGTAATGCTATATATGGATTAAATCGTTTTTTTCCTCTTCCGCTGTCACAATTTGTTTCCTCTTTCGGAGTAAGGATGTTTTTAAATCATATTCAACAAAGTTGTCAAATCATTAAACCCTATTTGAGAAATGAGCATTCAATTTCAGTTAGTGATGTTTTGTGAATTCGCATATATCATGGGTAAATTAATAAGCATACATCCTGTAATGTATACAAAATAAACCGTATTAAATATTAAATAGTAAGATGAAAATAAACAACCATGAAATATTCAAATGCAAGAAGACCATCCTTTGCCCTTTGGGGGGAAAGGATAATAAGAGAAACATGAATACAGGATAAGAAAATGAATACTTCGTATAATTCAGGAGAAAACGAAAAGCCGTAAGCTCTTAAAGTCGTAACGTAAAAATTTACAAAATTACTATCCGCAGTAAACTTATGAGTTACACTTACATCCAGAACAACGGTATAACTTTCAACCTTAATTTGCCTTATTACTTCACGAAAAGAATAAAATCCACAAATGATCAAAATGTTTAATGTGCTAAAACAAGCGATACATTTTACAAAAAACACTAGTTTACATCCAGATTCCCTTGATGGACAGAAATATTATCAAACTCTTCCGTTACTACGGACCTTAGAAGACCTGATGCTTCCAAGGGGAGGATATTCGTCATTAGAAATGAGGTTGTTCACGTTTGTTATCTCTGTGGCGGCCACACTTCCATTGACGCCATTGATAAGTTTGATTGAAGATTCTTTGCTCAGGGGACGATGAACAACCGGCATGATCTTTGTAAGCTCCGGGTCAGGTCTGAACGTGTGAGGTAATTTACTTTCATCCATTTTCCTGAAAGTAACGGAAATCCTGCAATAAAAATCAATAAGGTTATGTTGGACAAAAATGATAAAGAAAATAGTTTTCATTCATTCCTAAGTTCCCCTCTTTTCTCACTACTTTCTTCCCTTGGCAATTTTTGGGTTCCAAACTGACCCTGAATTAAAAACAAAGGTACTCATGCACAACTACACAATTCATATAATAGCTGTAATTCAAGTATATGTTACTGCCAGATTTTTACCTCTTAGAAGGAACAGCAGGTACACAATGCTTTGCAACATCAGCCCCGTTACCTTGTAGAATGAACACCGACCTGTATCACACAAACTCTCAAGTTAGTATGACTGAACATAACATCTTAAATAAAGTTAACGAATGATTTCATTTATTTCCAAGAGCATGATGTTCTGAGTTTGAAAGTGTACCCTACTGGCAGAGGTATAGATACAGGACCGGAAAATTCTCCAGGACTAATGATCTTCAAATTTGAGCCAAAAAGAATGTTACATTCTGACAAGAACGAGGCTGTGCAGAAAGGTCTAACAAAATCATGGTGGTCTATATGAGGAGGAATGCAATCTCCCTCATCATATATGTTAACTATACAGCTGTTAGGCACACATGTCGGGGGCAAAATATGCCACCTCACCATCCGTTTGATCATTTGCTTGAATATAGGAGGCAACGGGTCTACCTCTTCCTCTCTTAATATGCCCGGAGGGTTCCCTTGTTTGTCCTATTACAAAATAATAATACACGAAATAAATGATACTGCTGATTCATTAAAAATGGCAAAGTGGTGGAAACGCTGAAACAGTATAAGTGACTTACCACTGCGTAGTTATAACAGCAACCAAACTGAATTGTTGCTCTCCCTTTACCCCTCATCCATTTTCTGGGCTCTGTGTATGTTCTTTCTGCAAAAAGTTACCCAGTCAGTTAGATGATAATGATAACCAGCAGAAACTCGTGCATTTGAAAATAGAAGCATATTATTATCATTATGTACAGAGTAATCGACTTCTATACTGAAAGTGGAAATATTAATAGACCAATGTATCAAGAAAACATTGAAGATTTCACATTTGTCTCATCAAAAATCAATATTTAATAACAACAAAGAGGTGAAAAGGATGATAAAAAAATATTAAAGAAAAAACTAAAAGTTAGGGAGTAGGTACCCACCTCTAAGCTTCCCTTGTTGTCCCATACGCTGGAATTTATAAACGGATTCAACAATCTTTGTTTGCTCAGCCGCGTTGAAAACCTGACAGTGCAACTCAAGACCTTGAAGTACATTGAGCCTTTTACCCTCAACCCTCTCATAATGGAGGAAGTCCTTCTTCCTCTTGACGTGTGAAAATCTAATGTGTTCCTTTTGCTCCTCAGATAACCCCTTGTCATCTACTGATGCTTCCCTATTACTAAGTCCATCATCAAGAGTTATGTCAATGTTTGGGTTACTAATGTTCAGCTCGCTGGCAGATTTTGGTTTGCTATTTACGGACATTGGTGATGACGAAGAATCAGAAACCAATTTCTTCACCTGCTTCAAGTAACTCTGTTCAAGTCCTTGAGGATTCTCTGATGGAGAGGATGAATCTAATCTTTTACCACTGGAAGCTGTCTCAGATGATATGCCAGATTTTGATTCTGTGGTGTTAGAAACTAACTTCTTGAGCCGATTCAAGTAATTTGGTTCAATCACCCATGGACGACCTAGCGGAGTAAATGCAGGGGAAGATGGATCTAATCTACTGTCTCTGGAAGTCAAGTCTGATGAATCAGCAGATAAGAATTCGGTATTGTCATCTTTACTATCATTAGTTGATGTTGATGTTTCACTTGTTTTGCCTTCAAAAGTCAAAGAAACTTGCGTGAGCAAATAAACAGCAAAAAAATCATAAATAAAAATAAACCCAGCACTGCTGGAAATAGTACCCATGGCTTCTGCTAGTAAAATATGAAACTTTTAAGAGAATCAGGAAAACAAATATAAATTACATCTACTATAAGGGTATCAATTATCAAGGAACAATACATCAATCAAATATTAGCAAGACATGTAATCATACTTTATTTAAACAATTAAAGCGCACCCAATGAGAAGGAAGATATCAAAAGTTTATGCATTACTTTTTTTTAGATTCTCAATTCGAGATTGCAGAACAGATTCACAGCATTCGCACAATCCAGCGGATAGAATTTCCAGAAGCTGCTCATGCCCTAGACTCGATGCCATATCGATGAAACTCTTCCGGCCGCCGGGATTCGGCGCGTCCCCGTTGATTTCTCCAGCCATGTTAAGGAGGCGAGAGGATGGACTAGGGCGCGGTCGGGAAAGAGAATTAAACTAATTGGTAGAAATAAACAGAGGGTGTTTGGGTTTTGCAGAGGGGCGGCTATTCCAATTCGAAATATATACGCGGAAGAACTGCACATCCGTGTTTCCAGATCTGTCCGCTGTATTTCCAATTTTAGGAAAGTGAGTTTCGGTCTGTTTCCAGATCTGTCCGCTGTATTTCCAATTTTAGGAAAGTGAGTTTCGGTCTCCCAATTACGTAGTATTGTAAAGTGTTTGCGATTGCTTCAATTTTAAAAAAGTGATTTTTTGAATTGATTTTGGGAAAAGTGATTAATAGTAAAAGTTGGTAGTGTTTGAGAAAAAAGTGATCCTGAGAAAGTAAAAGTTGGTAGTGTTTGGTAAAATAAGTACTTTTTGTGTAATAGAAAAAGTGAGAAGCAGTTTAAAGCACCCTTCTACCTGCTTCCAGCTTTTATCTTTTAAGTGATTAATTTAAGTAGAAGCTATCATTTGAAAACGCTCTTTTCAACTTTTTTTAAGCCAAAAGCTGAAAAGCGCTTTTTTTAATCAATCCCAAACACTCCTTAAGTTATGGCCTTTTTATTCCAATATTACTAAAATGAATGAAAAAGATAAAAAAGTGACTTCTTTTAAATTTTTCCAAAAATGTGACTACAAGTCATTTATTTCGTTTATTTAATCATACATTTATCATTTCAATATTCCTTTTATATATTTGAAAAAATGGCCGCCTACCCCAGCACCGTTGCCACCGCCACCTTCGCCGCCGCCGCCGACCCAGCACCGCCGCCGCCGACACAGTGACTCCGGCCAAAGTGACTCCGGTCAAAGTGACTCCGGTCAAAGTGACTCCGGCCAAAGTTACTCCGGTCAAAGTGACTCCGGCCAAAATTACGGCCAACCCGCCCACCGATCACAGTGACCCGCTCAAAGTGACTGCCCACCCACCGATCACAGTGACTGTCGCTTCCGGCCACAGTGACTGTCGGCCAGTGACTGGCTCCCCCACCACACCGGAAATATTTCCGGCGGCCACCCAGCCAGCACCGCCAACCGCGGTGTCCCCTAAACTGTTCATTATCCCTGCGAACTCATCCATGCCGTTTAACACCATCATCCACGGACATTCATCCCCAACCCCCTATTCACACTCCCTCGACCACCATCCAACAAATCTCAGCCCCAACCAATCTCAGCCCCAACCAATAAATCTCAATCCCAGTCAACAAATCTCAGCCCCAACCAACAGATTCAGCCTCAGGAAACAAATCTCAGCCCTTGTCCATCACCATCGTTGTAACCCTAACCAACGTTCACCACCCACCGCCGTAACGCTGGTTGACGTGTCTTTTCACGTCAGATCTGAAAAACGAAAAAGAAGAACAATAGATGAGGATGGCGACCTGGAGGCCGGCAGAGGCGTCGACGTCGGTGCTGGCGGCGGCGGCGTTCGATGTCGGCAGAGGCGCAGGGTAGAAGGAAGATGGAGCCGGTACGTCCTATAGGCGGTGATGGCCGATTGCGCAGGTGCAGAGAAGAAAGATATAAATTTCTTTCTCGGTGGAGAAGACGGAGTCACGAAGAGGGAGCGAATCTGGAGGTCTGGTGGCTTATGGCGGCGGAGGAGAAGCTACGCCATGTCCGAGCATAGATTGAAGGGTCATTTCTATGCAGAGGGGAAACGTCAAAGTCGTGAAGAGAGAAGCGCGTGATCTGGGAAAGAGAGTTTACAGTCTGTCAGATTTTTGGGAAATTGGAATATGGTCATAATTTTAGAATTGAAGAGTCCGGATGTTATATTTAGGCCATTTTTTCTCAAGTTATTTCATTCACTTCTTTTTTTCTGAATTTCTAAAAAAGTCTACTGAATGAAATGACAGTATATAGAAGCAGATACTTCAATAGTAAAAACGATAGAAGTATATCAATGCTTTTTTTAATTGACATGGCATATATTAAACTGAAATCCTTAGCAGCAGTCGAGCGATTGAGGAGCGCCTAGCACCTGGATATCGACTAGTTGCCTATTAGCCTGGTGTTTTGGCCGATATGCCGATTAGTCGTTCACAGTTGGGAACTGCTTAGTGCCTAGGTTCCAATTAATTGACTTCTCTGGATCATTTTTTAGAACAACGACTCATTTCCTTAAATTTGTTACTCATTTCCTTATCAGACTCATAATATGAAAATCCTCTCGTTGAATTGTTAATCATATGAGGTTTTAATGAAATGCCCGGCTCCTAGAGCTTTAATACTTCTAACTAATAGTGTAGATTTTTCATTATTATTACTATTATTTAGTCTCGGACTCCTATGTACTTCTAGAAACATATTTCTAATGTGTGTATTAAGGTTATCAGTCGTCCAGTGTAATTAAGCCCTCACATTATTTCTCACATGGTATCACATCATTGGCGTTCACTATAATAAAACTCTCACAGTCCCCACGCACCTTAAGTTTCGTGAACAAAAAAATCGTAACACAGCAAAGTACAAATTATAACTAACAAATTAAAAAACTAAAAACTAAATCTCTTACTCATATGGCAGCTTGCAAGTCCATTATTGGCAGCCACCACTCACGATGCTCAGCGTGCTTTGAGAGCTTGCTCATCCCCGCTAGCAAATTGTGCACCTGAACCCGAAAACCAGCAAAATGTAATGGTATATATTGGGGAAGGTCCTCGTCCATAAAATTCAACATAATCAATCTATGATTCGAATCGCCAATGACCATCATTCAAGACTCTAGTTATATCAACCTTGTGATATATATACTCTCTTAGCTAGTTTTCAAATAGCTAGCCATTATCATCCTTTTCAGATGTAATTGTGCCGACAAGAGAGAGTCTTGTATCATGAACTATTAAACATTGACTGGTCTCCAACACAACCAATTCATCTTCTTTCGCAATTGACATCCTCCTACAAGCATGTTTTGGTGTCTTCCATCTCGTCTAACAAAGACCTTGGTTAATGTCAAAAGCTAATGCTCAACCTCGCTAACCACCGCAAACCCTTACGCTTAGGAGACCTGTCGATATTCGGCTTGAAGAGTTTGAAGCCCTAACTTTTTGCCTCTGATGACCCTGTGTCGCTTCCTTCCTTGATCTGTAACGAGGAAAATCTGCTATACAGATAGCCAAAATTCTACAATGAAGGTTGTTGGCTACCAATCTAAACCTACACTCGAGCGAGAGCTTGAAGAGGCTCTAATGTACGTTTAAAACATATTTTTTTTTTAGAGAGAGAAGGAAGTTTTATTAAGGATAACAAAATAAACGATTACAAATGAAAAAAGAAGACAGAAGAGGAACAAAGAGAAAAAGAAAAGGAAATACACAATCCCCAAATACATTTTTTTTCCCTACCCAAAAAAGCCCTAACTCCCTTTATCAACATCAACGTTCCTTGCGAGTTTGAGATCGTGTTTTCATACGATATGAATGTGGAGTCCTCTTTTTGTAAGTTTTCATTTGCAGATTCAGATTACTTGTAGGCAAACAGTTATCCCTTGTGACAAGTAATGCCTTATTACAAATATTCTGATTAGTGTCAAAATCCCATAAATCCTCCACCGTTGATATAGGAGTCCGCTTTTCGTTATCTGAAGTGTGTCCAAGATATGTATCCCCGAAATCTGAATCAACATACTCTCCAATTCCCCTTGAGGAGCCATGCTCCAGAATATCACAATCTGAAAAATCCGAGTGTTCAAAGCGCCGCTCCGTATATACTGTGTTTTCTTTGATTTGTTCTGACTGAGCGCCCCCATTTCCATCCTTGCTTTGCTCAATGGCAAGCCCATCCTCATATTTTTTACTCTCATGATGTTGTGTCATAATACGCTCATACTCCTTGGAAAGGAAAGTTGTCAAATTGGTCACACTTGAGTTCATAATATCCTGAAGAAATGATTTCAGCTCTAAAATAGAATGATCTAACACGGAACAAAAATGAGAAGGATCAAAAGATGAGATTGTATGAGAAATGCCCAAAGTGTTGTGAGTTCTCCCAGAAAGTACTGAATCAGCATGCACTAGGACATCTGAAATAGTAAGCTCCTTGGTCTCCATAGAATAGCAATCCATGCGCTTAATGACATCGTTGATGATTTCAACATCTGTAGAAAAAGTCCCATTTGGATTTTGTTCGACAGTTCGCGAATTTTCCTGCTTAGGAGCTGATTCCTTGATTGTAGAGATAGCCCGTGAAAGACCTGCAATGAACCTAGTGATACCAACCCCATTTTTACCTTCCGGTATGAAGATAGAGTCTGAGCCTGAAAAAATTCTTACATATCCCCCAAAATGATTTCCATCCAAAAGAAGAGTGATGCATTTGCTTAAAACTATTCTTGATATGACTTTTCCAGATCGAAGCTTTGGCAAACATTTAATCAACCAAATGGCACCATCACTATCAAAAACAATACTAGAAAATAACCCATGTTTTGTTTCTGTAATGCGAATGTGTGAATCTGATGCTTGAAAGGAAAAATATTTACTTTCAATAAATCCATCAGAACAGTTTTTTAACCTCCCAGGTTGATGGAGAGAATTACCACATAAATCTGTGTACTCCACAGCTGATTGGCTCCCCCTGTAGTTGAAATCTGACCTGCGCTGCCTGTGTGCAATTGGAGTCCTCCTGCGATGATGTACCTCTCGCCCAACTAGAGCTAGCCGGGATTGAGGAAACTTCTTACTCTGTCCTCCGCAGCCTCTCCATCGATGGTTTGCATCACGAGCATCTGTCCTGCGCCTCTCGTGAGAAGGAATCCCCCTGACTCGTTGCTCTACAGTCGATGATGCTCGTCGGGACTGTGTAATGGAAAACTTCACGCTTGGGTGATCATATCTTCTCCATGGATGGCCTGCATCTATGCTTCTCCAATAGTGGTTCCCAGACCCACGAGCTGACAGACGCCGTTCCCAGTGCATCGTCGATGGTTTGAGGCCTACTCGGGATCTATTGATATCCTGTCTCCATCGTTGGGTATTTGGGTTTGGTGAGGTCCCGTCTAGTTCCGGTCGAGTAGCTGGTCGTCCTATTGCAGTCCCTTCCTCGAATGTAGATCCATGGCAGATCCCCTTTTTAGCCTGGAAGTCTGAGCTCGCATTTGTGCGTTGTTGGTCAGTCTCGGCTATAGGTGTGACGAAAGAACCGAAAAGAATTGAAATCCCTGCTCCGGTGGCTGTGGTCTCAGTTCTATCGCCGGCTTTA